GAGGATCGATGCGTTGCGCTTTTTTCACAAGGATTATCCACATCGGATGCAACGGTGCTAAAGCAAGGTCGTAGCAACATATACCTTGCATCTGTTTACCTGTCTTTCGATTTTCTGACACTACCACCAACGTCGGAGCTGAAAAATAAAAAAATTGTAATAGGTTGTGATGCCAACTCTCACCATGTAGGTTGGGGTAGTATAAATACCAATCGCGGATGACAAGCCCTCATGAATTTCCTTAATACTAAAGTCTTGATCACATTGAACTTAGGTAATAAAGCTATCTTTGTCAATAAAAACAGAGAAGAGGTATTAGATATAACTATTTATATGTTCAGAAGAGCTTATAAACGAAATTCAGGATTGGAGAGTTTCGGACGAGCACTCCTTTCCTGACCATCGGTACATAAGATTCAAAATACTACGGCCGAGACCAAAGCAGATACAATTTCGGAAAGTCTAAAACTAATTGAACAATGTTCGGGACCTTACTAAAGACCCATTTATGTCAGGACACTTTTCAATGTCGAAATAAAGAGGACATAGACGCTAAAGTAGAAATGCTTATAAGTGTCCTGGTTGAATCGTTCGAGGACAGCTGCCTTCTGCGAGAGCGGAGATCTGCCCAGGAGAAACTCTGCGTAACAGGGGAGATCCGGAACCTTGGTAAGACTCTTCCAAAACACATGTCCAGCCGAAATCAGGCAGGAGGCTGAAGGATATGGAGGAGAACACCTAAATGGACTCTCATTTCCCACCAGGTATATCGAATAACATAGATGAACCGCTATTGGAGGATGGGGAGGCTAACACGGAAATTGTAATTACATCTGATATGGTTAAAGGAGAAGTCGAGGGCTTTGTTCCCTATAAAGCTGCAGATGGAGGCGGGACTGGTTTCCGTACATCTGTTTTAGATATTTAAAATTGACAAATACCCCCATTTAATGGCAGGATGCAATGTAACGTGCACAATGATACTCTTATCCAATCCATAGACCAGTTTTATGTTGACCGGGTGCACCGTAACTGGATCAACCACATGCTAAGGAACAGATGGATAAGCTGCAATATGTACGATATAACTATCAGGAAGAAGGTATTTCGCGGTATACCACGATTAATAGCCTCCTAAGGTCCCTAACTGAGAAAGGACTTAGACCTGTCTAAGACTATGTCGTGATACTTTAAAAGGGAAAGGATCCAAATTATTTGTGCAGAAGAGCTGAGGAGGCTCTGAATACGGCCTTGAGCTGGGCTCAACCGAGAGGCCTCAATGTTAACCCGGCGAAGACGGAAATCTGTCTTTTCACAAGAAAGCCAAAAATTTCCTTGTTTAATGATCCTTGCTTCCTGTTCAAGAAGATACCCATGACAGACAAAGTTAAGTACTTAGGTGTAATCCTTGACAGGAAATTAAAATGGAGACACCACATAGAGGATAGGATCAACAAGGCACATCGGTGCTGGGCGATATGTAGGAGAACTATAGGCATGAAATGGGGTCTTAGTCCTACTAAAACAAATTGTCTTTATAAAAGCGTAATTAGACCAATTCTAGCTTATGCTTTAATAATCTGGTGGACTGCTTTAGACAAAAAGTGCAATATCAAACTACTACAGGGAGTTAAACGTACATGCTGCTTGGGTATAAGTGGTGACATGCGTACTACTTCAACCAAGGCTCTGGAAACGGTGCTAGATATTCCACCCATTGAAACATATTTAAGATATGAGGCGGCGCTTACAGCCGAACGGCTCTTTACTTTAGGCGAACTGGCCAAAAGCGGTTATAGGACACGTCATCAATGTATACTGGACACATTGGAAGGTTATACACAATCATCGGACGTGCCTGATCGTATACCAGACACAGAATATGTCGGAAACTTTGAAACGCTGATCCGAGATAGAATGTCTTGGTCAAGCGGAACATTAGAGCAAATACCAGTAGGAATCCGTTGTTACACGGATGGCTCTAAATTGGGGGACAACGTGGGGCTGGGGTTCTATATTGAAGAAACAGAAATATACCACCGTTTACCAAATCATAACACAAGCTTCCAGGCAGAAGTACGAGCAATAACGGAATGCGTAAATTGGATTAGAATAAATATGGCGCCCACAGCGCTTAATATATTTACCGATAGCCAGAAGGCTATTAGGGCGATATCAGGCGATAGAACTAAAGCTAAGACCGTATTGGATTGTAAGAAAGCTTTAACTGAATACTCTCCCAGAGGTAAGGTTTACATCATATGGGTACCAGGCCACGCGGGAGTAGTCGGCAACGAAAGGGCGAATGTAATAGCTTTAAAGGGTAGGGAGCTCGAGGCAGTTAACCTGACAAACGCGAAACCAACAAAAGCTGAACTAAAAATATGGGTGAGAGAATTCCATAAGGCCTCTTGGAATAATGAAACAGTGGGTAGAACCACGAAGATCCTATGGGGTGATCCTGATGAGAACAAGACGAAAAATCTCCTCAAATTAAGCAAGTCTGAAGTTAGTATTGTGGTACGTATTCTAAGTGGACACACAGGATTACGAGCACATCTATGCAAAATTGGACGTGCGGATTTAGACGAATGTAGAGCCACTGCCAGGCATTCGTCGAAGTTAGATCCAAGTATCTTGGAAGTGATGTTATTCCAAAAATAACATTCCTGAATAACACTGATTGGAAGATTCTTAGGAATTACGTTTAGGAAACTGAGTTTATGAACACCGAAAAATAATTCAGCGCACAACAGGCCCGATAGTGGCCTAGGTGTATTTCTTCGGATTTGATATAGTATACATCCTCCTATCAACCTACCTACCTACTATATGCATGAAATGAAGTCTTAGTCCTACTATGACAAATTGGCTTTATAAAAGTGTAATTAGACCAATTCTAGCTTATTCTTCAAAAATCTGGTGGACTGCTTTGGACAAAAAGTGTAATATGAAACTACTACATGGAGTTCAGCGTACATGCTGCCTGGGTGTGAGTGGTGCCGTGGGTACTACTTCAACCAAGGCTCTGGAAACTATGCTAGAGATTCCACCCATTGAAACATATTTAAGATATGAAGCGGCGCTTAAAGCCGAACGGCTCTTTACTTTGGCGAACTTGCCAAAAGCGGTTATAGGACACGTTAGCAATGTATGTCAGACACAGAATATGTTGGAAACTTTGAAACTCTGATCCCAGATTGGTCAAGCGGAAAACTAGAGCAAATACCAATAGGAATCCGTTGTTACACGGATGGCTCTAAACTGGGGGATAAAGTGGGCCTGAAGTTCTTTATTGAAGACCCAGAAACAGAAATATACCATATTTTACCTATTCATAACACAAGCTTCCTGGCAGAAGTCCGAGCAATAACGGAATGTATAAATTGGATTAGAATAAATATGGCACCCACAGGTCTTAATATATTTACTGAAAGCCAGAAGGCAATTAGGGCGATATCAGGTGATATAATTAAATCTAAGACCATATTGGATTGTAAGAAAGCTTTAAGTGAATACTCTCCCAGAGGTAAGGTTTGCATCATATGGGTACCAGGCCACTCGGGAGTAGTCGGCAGACGAAAGTGTAATAGTTTTAAAGGGAAGGGATCTTGTTTAGTTAACCTGACAAAACCAAAACATAGGTTTCATGCAAGCCAATATATATCCACCAAACTTTTTGTGATCCCTTTAAGGAAATGACTTTAATTACTGGCTTTAAAATACAAGTAGATCTATGAAATTTGAAATAGATAAGGAACTGAAATCTTCCTACCGACTTTTATTAGAATTGGTCCATATATGTATATATAACACTACACCCTATATAAATTAATATATTTAATTCGAAAGAGCACTGTCTATAGTTAAACCCCCATTAATGGACCTCTTTCAAATATTACCCTGATGTTCTCATTAATATCGATATATAATAGTAAAATATTCAAAATATCAAAGTTTATTTAAATGGCAGTGATTTGATTGTGGGTATATAAGATTCGGCATAGCCGAATAAACACTCTTACTTGTTTTTAATAAAAAAGCAACAAAGACATTATTAAAAATCTGATAGAAATAAAAAGGGGGTTAATGAAATGCTAAAATTTATATTATTGATTTTTTTCTGAGTTAATTGTTATGTATATGAATACTCTCACAGAGGTAAGGTTTGCATCATATGGGTACCAGGCTACTCGGTAGTAGTCGGCAACGAAAGGGCGAATGTAATATCTTTAAAGGGAAGGGATCTCGATGTAGTTAACCCGACAAAACCAAAATATGGGTGAGAGAATTCCATAAGGACTCTTGGAATAATTAAACGGTGGGTATAAACACAAAAATCCTATGGGGTGACCCTGATGAGAACAAGACGAGAAATCTCCTCAAAATTAGCAAGTCTGAAGTTAGTATGATGGTACGTACTCTGAGTGGACACACAGAATTACGAGAACATCTATACAAAATTGTATCTTGGAAGTGATGTTATTCCGGAAATAACATTCCTGACTAACATTGATTGGAAAATTCTTAGGAATTACGTCCGGAAAACTTAATAAAAAAGCCTCAAAGACAATTCTAAAAAATCTGATCAAATAAAAAGGGGGTTAAGAAAATGCTAAAATTTATATTATTGAATTTTTTCGGAGTTAATTGTTATGTATGTTCTGAAAAACGCGCAAGCACCCCAAAATCAATAATAATTTTTAAATATTTTATCAGCAGTCTTGAAGGATGATGTAAAATTAAAACCTCTTTATATAAAAATTTTGACGTATAGGAAAAAAAATGTTAGTTAATTATCGAAACATATAACATATATTCAAAAATATATGTTTTATTCCATAAGCAAATAAAAAGTATTAATTTGTAAACTAGTGTTATTGTAAAAATTACAATTTTTCAAAATTTTTAATAAAAAAATCAATATAAAGCTTATTTCAGAAAATTTTCGCACAATTTTCTTATAAGTATAAATAGAAAACAATATGTTAATCATTTACCTGCTGGGTCATAATTATAGCGAGGAAGACACACTGGTTTAATAATTTTAGAAAATATTATAGGTTTCCTTAATTTTAATAACGCGATATCATTATTATACGTATCAGGGTCGAAATTCCTATGTTTGGTAATACTTGTTACCGCTCTTTGGATAGCTTTAGACTCAGAGGTAATTTGTTGATCGTGGTCTCCAAAAATTACTCTTATTTTGGACCTTCGTAGTTTTTTTACACAATGTGCAGCTGTCAGAACATAATCTTTTGTGAGTAGGGACCCACCGCAATGAAACTTTCCATCATAAACAATGCGTGCCATCCATGGAAATTGATTTACACCCGTAGGTCTACCACCAACAATTCTTATTTCTTCGTTTGAAAACCCACAATCTGTAATCAGTTCAAAAATATTTTATTATATTACTTATTTTTTAGTTTACATTTATAGCCAATGAATAAAAAGAAATGAATGTCAATGTGACATTGTTTTAACAATGTCAATAAATTTAACCCATTAGAATCCAACCATCTTAAAATCAATAAATTTAAATTTGTTGTTGCAAATTATATCTTATTATGGGTTAATTTAAAATAAAATTTAAAAACAAAAAATTTTTAAATTTTGGAAATGCGGTTTTTGGGCTGTACTCGGATGGGAACAGCGGTACAATATGGGTAAAAATACAAATAAATAAAAAAAAAATTAAAAGCTATTTTTATTATATTTGTTTGGTACTTTCCTACATAAAAAATCGAATCAATTAGTATTGAGAATTTTTCCATTAGATTAATTATGAAATGTATTGAAATTCTCTGTGAATTACCATATTCAGTGCACTTTTTCGACACTTTATTCATATTTGTGTTAAAATAAATTAATTAAAATTCATCACATGCGATGTATTCTTCACTGACACTACTGTCATACACTTCCCATTCACCAAAAGTGTTGTCTGGCAGATCTCCCAGTAATTAACTGTATTTATCAATTCCTTTTTCATCAATTTCTTGGCAATTTTTGGAAAAATAATGGAAAAATCTAAATGTGAACTGATTTTATTATAAAGATAATCAGTAACAACTACAAGCCATCTAAAATATTTACCAAAAAGGACATAAAAATCCTTAATAGATAATTAAGATATATGAACAAATAGGCATGGGCAGTCCGATTGTACCCAAGCGAGTACACCAATATTTAAGCTTATAAAAATTAACTTAAAAACTAATTTTTAATTATTTTTTAACAAAATCCTAATGGGCTGATCTGTTTACTTTATTTTTCTGTAATATTCTAATCCATTCAACTCAAAATGAATGAGTGTGACATCAAATTAAAATGAAAGGGCGTAAAATCGAAAAATTGAAAAACTCTGTTGACAAAAAAATTATCTAAAATTTACCATTATGTTTTTATGACTTTATAATTCGATACATTTACTCTTTAGATCCTAAAGTAATGTTCCAAAAATCAAATTTTACAAAAAACTCAGTAATACGGATAATCTAGTGTTATAAAACTGTTTTTTTTTTTTTTTTTGTACCCAAGCGAGTACAGTGGGAACGAATGGGTTAACGGCACACAGTGCACAGTGTTACATTTTGTCAGTGAGGGGAACTTAACTATTTTTTTTTTTTGCCTTAGTGTGAATTTAATATGAGAGAAAATTGTCCAAGTAACACATGTCAACGATAAAAAAACGTTTTAAATAATTTTCACTAGTCCTAGTATTATTTGATAAAAACAAAGCATTATCCACATTTTTATATTTTAGTCCCCGTGTGTCTCAAATATTAAATTTTTTAATTTAACAGAAGTTACGAATATCGACCATCTCTGCCTCCAGACTTAAACTTTTAGTTATAAGGACGATAGGACTACGTTTACTGGTGTAGCCAAAGCTCATAAGTGGAAAATGGTTTTTGCTAAAATTTTAACAATTAATTTATGTATTTGGAATGTAACAGCAGATAATTTGAATATGTATGTATGTACATATTCAATTGTCATTTCAATATTATATAAAACACGAAAATAGGTCAAAATTTGTAAACGTTATTATAAATTCTTCAGATCATTTAGAGTCACAAAACACTTAACATTTAAAAAAAATTAGCGCATTTTGGGAAATATTCTTATAAAACTATGTCATTACATTAAATATATTGATATTAACATAAAAGTGAGTTTTATCATCATTACATTAGATAGTGTAAAACTTATTTGAGATATAGTCATAAATAGAAAATAGATGGCAGTTCCAAAACTCCATTTTCAAACTTTTGACAATTTTGTTAAGCAAATTTTAGAAATAAAATCTCTATGTGACTTGTACTGTGAAGATCAAACTCAAGCTTTGCAATAGTGAAATATTATCTTGTTTTCAATCGATTTTTAACTTAGGAAGAGTATATAATGAAGACCCGTTTTTTAGATGACACCGAAATAATCGAAATTAATTAATTAAAATATATTTTTATAATAATTATTATATAAACTGTTCGTAATATATGAACTAAATATTTAATACCATTTTGCGAGAAAATAGTGTGTGATAGAGAAAAATCGATATCAGATTAGTTTTCAGCAGCTAAAAATACATTAAAATCAATCGAATTGGTTTTAAAAGTTTTACAAAACTTTATTTAGTTGGCCTGTGTAATAAACAAATGTACATATTTCAAAGTAAAGAACTGTGAACGGCGTTGCCACTTTGCTCCAAAAATCATTTTATGGTCACCGATTTTAAAGTTATGTTACTTATTTTAAAGTAAACAGTAGTAAATCACGGGAGCCAAAAAATTAGAACTGTATTTCGACATTATCACAGCGAACAGAGTGAGTAAACATGACTATCACAGCCACTATAGTGGGAAGGGTATTATGCGTTTGTGCTGAAGTTTGTAACACCGAAAAATATTCGTCTACCACACCTTAAAGTATACCAATCGGGTCAGAATCACTTTCTAAGTTGTTTAAGCTATGACCGTCTGACAGACGGCGTCTGTGTGTCCATGTAAACCTTGTGTGCACTCTACAGGTGGCAATTTTCAAGATAATTTGATGAAATTTGACGCATACATTTCTTTTGACAGTGCTGATACAAAGTCCCCTTCAGAAAATGACTTGATGGTCAAAATTTACTTATAAACACTAAAATCACTATGATATTCTGCATAAATAACTGAATAAATAACCTCTGCAAAAATTTATAAGGACAGGGCCCCATTTAACCCCTTTTTTGGAAAATCACTTTTTTGTCAAAAAATTGTTAAAATATTTCTGAATTAAGGTAAATATTAAATTAAATACTTTATTATTAAAATAATAATCAAAATTTGTAACATAATCACTGGTGTATGGTATCATATGGTCGGTCATGCCCGACTATAAATTCTTACTTGTTTTCAATTTTCTCAGTAAATTTTTAATTTTTTAATGATCATAACTTTTTCGTTTTAAAAGATTTTAAAGTGAATTAAATTTTGAAAAATTATTTAACTTTCAAGATATTTCTTTAAAAAATAGTCTTTATGTATTTTAAAAGATCTTAAACTTAAAAAACGTCCAAATTTCCAAAATTAGGAAGTTAGTAGACATATTTCCAGAAATGGATTTATCGTTAATAACTAAATCAAAATTTTGCACAGAAACCATACTAGCAACGTAGATCTCAGTTGGTCCACAATTGGTCATAGCTCCCGTATAAGGCCCACTTCCGAAAACCACTTAAACGCGCATTTTTCACTGATAAATAAAGCTATCGAGGTTAAATTCGACATGAATATGTTTTGTGTATATATAAATCACTCTACGAAATTTTTTTTGAATCGTTCCATAATTGGTCATAGCTCCCATATAAGATCCACTTCCGAAAATCACTTAAGCGCTCATATTTCATTAACTAATGAAGCCATCGGGGTAAAATTCGACATAAATATGTTTTGTGTATATATAAATCACTCTACGAATTTTTTTCAGAATCGGTTCATAATTGTTCATAGCTCCCATATAAGGTCCACTTCCGAAAGTCACTTAAACGCTCATATTTCATTAACTAATGAAGCTATTGGGGTAAAATTCGACATGAATATTTTTTTATATATATAAATCAATCTTCGAAATTTTTCAAAATCGGTTTATAATTAGTCATAGCTCCCAAATCACTTCCGAAAATCACTTAAACGCGCGTATTTCATTGATATATAAAGCTATCGAGATAAAATTCGGCTCGAATATGTTGCTCTACGAATTTTTTTCTGGATAGGCCCTTAATTGGTCATAGCTCCATATAAGGTCCACTTTCGAAAATAACTTTAATGCATATAATTTCTTAACTAATAAAGCTATCGAGGTAAAATTCGACGCGAATATGTTTTGTATATAATAAATCATTATGCGAAATTTTTTCCGGATCGGTCCATAATTGGTCACAACTCCCAATAAGGAACTTGCACAATGAGAGTTAAAATTCAACTTGAATATGTTTTGTGTATATATAAATCAGTATATGCAATTTTTTCCGGATCGTCCATAAATAGTCATAGCTCCCATATAAGGTTCACTTCTGAAAATCACTTAATCATTTAATAATGAATTATATGGTAATAATTCATTATTAAATGATTATATCCGGATAAAATTCGACATGAGCATATTCTATGTATAGATAAAACATTCTGCTAAAATGTAAAATAAATTTTTTCGACCTCATCAAAATAAGTTCCATACATGCATAAAAAATTACTAAATTATAGTACCCTCACCACGGAAACAAAACATATGCCGAGTTATCTTAAATCTAGATAGTTAAATGGGTTTTAATAAAAAAATAGCAAGCTGGTGGAGGGTATTTAAGATTCGGCATAACCGAATATAGCACTCTTACTTGTTTTAGTTTTGCACCGTTGTCCAAGTTTGGAGATGTTTTATGAAAGTATTTTATATAGGAACCGTACCATTTATGAACATTTAATGATGTTCATGTTTATTCATGAGTAAAACGCAAATTTGTTTTTAAAAATCCGTTAGCAATTGACGACGTTATTGGTATTTTTCTTTATACAAAATTGTTCAAAAACTGATTTCTGAAGGAAAATTCCACCTAGAAAAATTTGGTGGAAGGATTTATGTTTATATAAAAGTTATTTATTCTGAATTTCATCATGATATTAATATTAAGATCAGTAACTTAGTTGAATCTGAATCGATTTTAAGTTTCTCCACGGATTTAGAAAACATAAGCTGAGGCTAGAGTATTCAAAAAACCGGTCTGTTTCAGAAACCGGTTTTCGAAAAATTGCGTTTTCTAAAAAAACGGTATCAAATATGGTTTTAAGTGTAAAAACCGGTTAACCGGTTTTTTAATTCATTGTAATTTTTTCTGCAA